GCCCCTCATTGCACTTATAAGGGTACAGAGGTACAGAAAGAGGATGTGACTTGGCCAGCATCACACAACCAGCAAACAGGTGTCCCCCGCCTCTGACTCCCAAATGGCCCCTTCTGCCGGAGTCCTAAGGCACCAGGAGAAGGGTCTCTGAGAGGTGGGGAGATGTGCTGGGTTGTTCGTGAGAAGGGCACAGAGCAAGGATGCAGTAATGCTCCTTGTTGCTCCCATTGTCATGCTTTCTGGGGAATTTCTTCCCATGGTGCTTCCTACTCAGGTTAGGGAGCAGGGACTCTGCTCTGCCTTCTCTCTGACCCCAGGGAAGATCAAGTCTCCTTCTTCCAGCCCCACCTCTGCCCTCCGACTCTCCGAGGGTCATGGACAGAGGAGAGGTAGCTCAGAGAGCAGAGGGCAGACAGGATGCCAAGCTACTAAAATGAAGGGTTGCACATCCGGAGAGTTGTGTGTCTGGGGCTGTGCTTGGGGCTGGTGGCCTGAGAATCAGGAAATGTGGTTTTCAGTTTTAGCTGTGGGGCACTGGCATGTCCCTTCCTCTCTCCGGGCCTCAATTTTCTCCTCTGAAAAATGGAGTTAAAGACCTTGCCCCCCCCCAACTGGTGGTGTGCTGATCAATGTTCACCATCCAGTTCTCCCCCCCCAAAAAAAGGCTCTGATTTGTAGTGTTTGCTAATGTCCGTGGGTAAATGCTTATACCATGGCCAATCCAGGCTGATTTGACAGAACGGGGAGCTGGAAAGAGGTGGGCACAGTCGGGTCCTGCAAGCCCACAGTAGCTGTCTCCGGCACACCACTGCCTGTTACCCTCTGGGGCAAAGGGAGAACGAAGGAGATGACAGATACAAGTGCTTTGTAAATTGCAGGGTGCTCTATAGATGGAGAGTTGGGAGGACGATCGTCCTTACAGTCGAAGGGACCCCAGGGCACAGTCCACCATAGAGAGCCCTGGCCTAGCTCCAGCCCAGGAAGGGGACAGGCTGTGGGTTGGGGAAGCCCACACTAAGTGGCAGGGTCGTGGCAACCATTTCTGGTAGCTGCTGGGATCTGAGAAAGGAGGACGGCTAACTGGACCTCCCACATGGGTTTGCTGCTATTTGCACACACACACACACACACACACACCCCATCAAGTTCCCTGGAACAAAAGCAAGTAGGATAGAGATTAGACTCCAAAATTCCCTCTGAATGCGGATGCCAGCCTCAGGACACTGGAGCCCTTGGGGATCTGAAGCAATTAGAGTAGCCCTCCCCACCCCCCACCTTCCCTGGGAGTTTCTACGGACACTGGCTCTATCACAGGGGGATTGCTGGAATGATCTCTGAGGCCAGAGAGTCAAGGGGAGGGAAGTTTAGCGTCCGCCAGGACAGGAGGATGATGTCATGGAGACGGAGAGGGGCCGTACTCCATCCCCCACCCCCAGAGCTCAGGCTTTAAATTAACGCTGTCCCACTGCTAATTATTACTAATAGCTACTATTTATTGAGCATGTACTATGCATTAAGCTATTTACAAGCAGTATTTCATCTAATCCTCCAGAGAGGTATGTATTATTAGCCCTCTCTTACAGATGAGGAAACTGAGGCCCAGGGAAGGAAGTGAAGCACCTTGCCCAACCAAAGTCCCACAGTTCCTGGGATTCAAACCCAATTTTGACTCTAGAGCTTCTGAACTAGATCATCCAACCTCAGGGGCTCTGCTGGCAACTCCAGGGAGGGGTCAGGGACCAAAGCAGCCTCTTCCCTCTCCCCACAGTAAGCTCCTCGCTGCACTGGACAGGAGCCCCCCATGTACACCAATCAGAGCCCCACTGCCCGGCCTCTTTTGAATGCAGATGGCAGAGAACCCCCTCTTTCGGGGGCTGTGTGGTCTTAGGCAAGTCACCGAACCTCTTCTCTGGGCCTTCTTTCCTCATTCATAAAACAGAGTCTGGGCTGAGGTGACCAAGGGGGTACCACTGAGTCAGGAGTGGTCATCTAGAAAACCAACCAGAGGAAGCCCTGCACAGAGGGCCATTTCAGCATTTCTGCATCCTCAGTGCAAATCGAGGGGTGGGCCTCTGAGCTCTGCGTACACTCCCTGGTTTTAATCCTGTCCCTGGGGACCTGGCCAAGTCGTGTAAAAGTCATGTGGCCGTGTGTGAACTAAAGCCTTCAGTTAAGGCCTCTGAGATGCAGGAAGTCAGCCAGGGCTCCAGATAATGTCCTGGGACATAGAAGTTGATGCAAGGCTGGGGGTGGGGCAGAGGCTTCAGGGGGCCTTCCGGGAAGGTCAGGCCCTCAGCAGGAGGTGCGGCCCAAGCTGGGGCTCAGAGAGGCCTCCTTGGGTTCAGGTCTCTGAGGAGCAGAGCCAGGGTCTGAGCCCCCCTGAGGCCAGGCTGAGTGAAGGCCAGGCAGAGAGGGCAGGGCTAGCGAGGGGAGCTGCCACCCGGGGGTCATTGGCCCACCTCCCCAGGCCTGCCAGGCCTGAAGCCGCAAGACCATCAGGGAAACTAGAGGCCGGGGTCACAGGCCACAGCCACATTTGGCCAATGAGGCCAAATGTATGACATGCGTCCTTGAGCATTTTCTATGGGCCGGGCATCCTACACACATTGGCTCCCTTAATCTTCATGACGACCATGTGAGATAGGCCCACCAGCCCCATTTATCAGAGGAGCAAGATACAAAGAAATACACAGGTTTTTTTCAAAATCGCAGAGCCCTGAAGTGACACAGCTGGGATTCAAACTCAGGTCGGACCAAATCGAAAACCCTTGCTCTTAACCACATACTCCTCTGCCTCCAGAGAGGGGAGCGACCACCGCCCCATGGGTTCCGAAACCTGAGACCTGGGGGGCGAAAGGGCCCCCGGCCTTGCCTCTGGAGGTGCTGGAGGAGGCTTGGGAAAGCAACTCTAGGCCAGATCCGGGCGTGGCAGGCAGGCAGGCCCCAGCTGTCCCAGAGCTGTCCCAGAGCTGTCCGGGGAACCGGGGCCGGGCCGGCGGTCATGCGGAACCAGAGATGGGCCGCCCTGCACCTCGGGCCCCATGCCCGCTCCCCTGTGGTGTCCAGTTACGGCCAGCTCGGCGCTTCCCTGGTCACGCCACATTTAGCATTGTGAGTGAGCGGGTGCCGGGACATGGAGAAGGGGCGGTAGGGACTCTTGAAGGGGCGGGAGAGCCTCCCACGGGCCTCCACCTGGACCCCAGCTACTAGCCCCCTCTGCCACTGATCCCCTGAGGCACTTGGGGCAAATGCCCTCCCTTCCTTGTCCCCGGAACCCCCAAGCAAAGGGAGGAAGTAGTTTATTCATCGAAGGTGAGCCGACCCCAGGCTGGGCACCATGGGGTCCCAGGGGGGCTCCCAGGAGAGCTCGGCCTGGGAAAGGCAATTATCCTGATCTGCTTGGCAGAGGTCTCGGGTAGGAGGCAGTAAGTGTGAATCTCATGTTTTTCTTGTTGCTTGGTCCCTCAGCTTAGCCGGCACCCACTCTGGCCCCCACCAAATGAAGAAACCGTAAGAGGAGTCCGGCAAACAGACCTGGGTTCGAATCCTGACTCTATTACGGATTAGCTATTTGATTTGGGCAAGTCACGTAACCCTTCTGAGCTCAATTTCCTCAACTGTAAAGTGGCTTAATAGTGTACCTTCCTTACCGGTTTGTTCTGACAAACCAATGAGAAAATTTTCCAAATTGTTCACACAGCGGCCAGCCCAGAGCAGGCCCTCAGCCAACGGTGGTCTGTATCAGACTACTTGGCAAAGAGGAGTACATTCCAGAGAAACTGTCCTTTGCAGGTGGTGGAGAAGGAAGGCAGAAAGCTGAGGATGAGAATAGGAAGGCCGTTCTAATAATGATATTAATTACAAGAGCTGACATCCAGTGCGCACTTAGGATGTGCTAGGCACTGTGCAAAATGCTTCCTGGGTGTGATTTCATTTACTACAGCATCCCCAGGTGGGAGGCCCTACCTCTCTCCCTGCTCTGTAGATGATGGTGTCAAAACTCAGAGACGCTCCCTGACACAGCTAGCAAGGAAAGGCTTGGATCTAAGTCCTCTCAACCTCTGGGCTGTGCCGGGGACAAAGTTCTGTACTTCCAGAAGGTCGGAGCAGGAAGAGCCCTAAGCTATCATCTACTACAAGCCCCTAGTTTTCCAAATAGTGAAACCAAAGCTCAGAAAAGGCAGTGGTCTGGGGGCACCGGACTGGTTCCATCCATAGAACATATGACTCTTGATCTCGGGGTTGTGAGTTCCGGCCCCACATTGGGTATAGAGATTATTTAAAAATAAAATATAAAAAAAAAAGAAAAAAGAAAAGGCCATCGGCCTGGACAAGGTCGCAGGCACGAGATGCAGTTTGGAGGCAGTCGGAGGAAGAGCCCATGCCCGACATCGCACAGTGGGCCGGCTCACAGGGCCAGCAGGCAACCAGGTCCCCTCAGTCCCCAGGAGTACACCGGGCACGCCAGTCCCCGAAGTGGCACCTGTGACAGGCCCCGCCTCTCCCACCCAAGGCCGGGGCTGGACCCACTCTCTCCAGCTCCCCCTTCTCTCCAGACCAACATCCTGCTCAGCCGCTGAGCAGAGGTGACTCGCCATGGTCACCTCGCCCAGTCCCTCACTGGGGAGATAGCGGCCTGAGGCAGGGTCTGGAGGGAACCATCCGCAGCTGAGCTCCAGAGCAGCCAACTCTCCCTCCTGGGGCTGGGGTTGGGGTGGGGGGGGTCTCCTACCTCCTGTGCTTTGTTCTCGCTCCAGTCTTCCATCCGTGCTTTCTTCCTCTGGCTCTCATCGTTTATCTGCTTCCTTCTGTCTCAGATGTTTCTCTCACTGTGTCTGTTTATCTGCCTATCTGTCTGTCTGTCTCTCTCTGTCTCACCAGATGTCTGGCTGGAGTGAGGGTTCCAGCCCAGGGATGGGGTGGGAGTGGAGGCGGTGAGCTTGGGGTTGGTCACCCCAGGACCCCGGTCCTCACTCTCATCACAGCCGGCTTTCTTCGAGGCCAGGACTGGGTGATGGTGTCGTTACTCCCGCCGCAGTCTGACGCCACGCTGCCCAGCCCCGCCAGACTGGAGGGCGAGCCCCAGGGGGACCTCATGCAGGCACCGGGCCTCCCAGGCTCCCCTGCCCCGCAGAACGTAAGTACCTGGTGCCTCGCAGCAGATGGACCAGTCACCCCCACCCCCAGCCCCCGGGAACCTCCTGGGATCTGCCTTGTCCCTTCCAGCAGTGACAAGTACCCAGTGACTCCAAGATCCAAAAGTGTTCGGATGCAGGCCTCTGCTTATCCCTTCAGACTGGGGCTTTCTCAGGGCAGGGCTGTGCATCCATCTGACTTGGGGCACCTCAGATCTAGGAGCAGTGTGCCCTCATCAGATTAGGGCTTCCAAGGGCAGTCTCTGTCCCCTCGATCACTTGGGGGGCTCCCCCAGAGCTGAGCCGCAGACCCGGTTACCCTAGCACAGAGTAGCGTCCTGGTCCAGCCTCTACTCACGGGCTCTCTACCCTCTGTCCACCCCAGAAGCTTGCCGGCTTCAGCTGCTCATCATTTGTGCCCGACGGCCCCGCAGAGAGGGCATCCTCACTGCCCCCACAGAGCCCCAGCGTCGCATCACCAGGCCCTGAGCAAGTCCACTGCCCAGCCGGCCCAGGCCCGGGCCCCTTCCGGCTCTCGCCCTCAGACAAGTACCCCAGCTTCGGCTTTGAGGAGGGCCCAGCAAGCAGCCCCGGGCGCTTCCTCAAGGGTGGCCACGGGCCTTTCCACCCATACAAGCGGCATTTCCACGAGGACGTCTTCCCCGAGGCCCAGACCGCCCTGGCCCTTGATGGACACTCCTTTAAGACCCCGGGGGCGCTGGAGGCCTTCGAGGAGATCCCTGTGGATGTGGGGGAGGCTGAGGCCTTCCTGCCTGGCTTCTCAGCAGAGGCCTGGTGCAACGGGCTCCCCTACCCCAGCCAAGAGCACAGCCCCCAAGTCCTGGTGAGTACCAGTGGCCGGTGGGCTTCCCACCTACCCCTAGGGGTCCTAGTTCACAGAAGCCCAGAATGAGTCCTCTGAGATCAAACTCCACCCTTCCTTCCAGACCTTTCCCCCCTCGGACTCAGGGTCAGGGTGCGCCAGGGAAGCAGCAAGCTCAGAAAGCTGGGGTCTTGGCTTCCTTCTGGCCTCCAGGTCAGCTGGGGAGGGGATGCTGACCTGCCCCGGCATGGAGGGGCCAAGGTGGGGGAGGCAGGTCAGGCTAAGGAAGCTGGCAGCTTCCCAGAGGCTCCTGAGTCAGGATTCCAGTGTGTGACTTCTCTGTTTAAGTGTCGAGAATCCCCAGCCAGACCTACCCGCCCATATGCAAATGTGAGAAGAAAAACACATTCCAGAGACCAAGAGAAAGGGTTGAGGGAGGAGCCACCGAGCACAAAGTTCCCTCTCCGGCATCTGCATACGCGGGTGGAGAGAGGGCTTACAGCTTCTCAGAGGACACTTCCGGGCCCTATTCTCTGCCCCAGAGGGGAGGAGGGCTGAGTGTATTCATAGAAATACCTTGAAAGCACCTTGGAAAGTCAGCATGTCATCCCACAGTCATACCCACCAGCTGTGTGATCTTGGGCAAGTCACTTAACCTCTCTGGGCCTCATCTGAAAAGTATGGTTAAGAGGACCTGCCTCATAGGCTTGTTGCCCTGGGGAGAGGAAAGCTAGAGGGAGGTTGGAGGTCCCCGAGGTGGTGAGCACTGAGCAGTCTCAGCCGGGGTTGTGGTTACTCCAGATGCTCACCAGCTCTCCTCACCTTTTGCTTTCAGACAGGCTCCCATTCCATCCCCAAGCGCCCCCCCGCCTCCCCGACAAAGCCTGACTCCCAGGCTTGGAAGATAGAGAAGGGGTTGGGTTCCTACCAGCTGTGGCCAAGACAGGACCCTTGGTTCTGGGGCCCTTTGATGGCTTCTCCTCAGGCCCACTGAACATGACAGCCGCTCATGGTGAGGGCGTCATCATATTAGCTCCTGCCCCCCAAATCCACTCGCTGCCAGCCCCTGGGCACTGTGCCGGATGCTTTCTCTCAAGTGCCCCATTTAATCCTCACAACAACCCTCGAAAGACTTCCCACTATCCCCATTTTGCCTCTGAGGAAACCAAGTTTCCATAGACGTCAAGTGACTTTCCCAAGGTGTCCCTTGGCCTATAGGAAGGGAGGCTGAGATTTGAGCCCACTCCCTTACCCCCTGCTCAGTGGAGAGGAGCCGGGGCCCCGGAGAGCCACAGCTAACTGGTCGACTCACTGGGTGACCGCGGACACATCACTTCCCCTCAGTGGGCTCAACCCCATCATCTTCCAAATGAGGAGGTTGGCCCTCGTGCTGTTGGCCCTTCTAGGCCTGAGATTCTATGATTATGGCTATCTCTGCATCAGCAACCCCAGGGCACATCCAGAAAGAGCTGACAGTTGATTTGACCCTCTGGGCCCAGATACTGGTTCCCAAGGCCCCTGGTAAGCCCAGGAAGAGTGGTCTACCTCCTTCTGGCCTTCTTCACGTTCTAGAAACCAGCTGTGCACTCTTTCTGACTCTACTCAGCGTAGAGCTCTGTGCTAGACTCTGGGGGGCCCCATGGGGAGCTCACCACCCATGGGAAGCCAGAGCCTGGCCACCACCTCTGGCAGCAGCTATAGGTTCCCTGGGCCAGGGTGAAAGAGAGCTGCGGGGCTCAAGCAGGCCAGCAACAGGGCAGACTCCCCGAGTAGGGAGCAAAGGCCTTTGAGTTGAGGATGGCCAGGAGACAGAGTGGGGAGGACTCATCAGCCCCCTCCAAAGAGCCTGCCGGAGCTCCCCTGGGCTTTGCCGAGGAGGAAGGGGCAGGGCTTTGGGTCATCAGCTGAGCCCACCTGTCTGGCCACTTCCTGTGCTCCCCTTACTATGGGCTCTGCAGTGGGAATTCTAGAGCTGTAGCCTTTTCCAGATGTCCTTCGCAGACCTGCTCCGAGAGGCTGGCAGCACTGAACGCAAGCAGGCCCCAAGCCAGCCTTGATGCGTGGGATCAGGCACTGCATCCTCGTGCTATTCCAGAGAGATCTCTGACTCTACCCCACCTCACTGTGACCGTCGTCAAATCTCCCCTAGTCGCCTGGACAGCTCGGCCTCTGCCTCTCACCTGAAGTGAGGTGCAGACCAGGGAGTGCTCGCAATTCCAGCCCCAGCTCCACCGCTAACTGGCTGAGTTCCCTCAGGAAAAGCCCTGACCTTCTCTGTTCTCCATTTGTTCTCTAGGACTAAGCTTTGGGGGAGGCAGACTAGTGGTTGCTTTTGTGTCGGTTTCAAGCCACAGGGAAAACCAAGGCCCCACCTGGTCATCTGTTTTTTGTTCCTTCCAGCAGGGGTCAGAAGTCAAGGTCAAGCCCCCAGCTCTGGAGACTGGTCCTGGGATGTACTGTTACCAGCCCCCCTTGCAGCACATGTACTGTCCCTCCCAGCCCCCCTTCCACCAGGTGGGTCAGGGGCAGGTGGGCATGCTCCCCTGGGGCCCCAGGGTATTATGTGGTGGGAGGTGTGCGGGCGTGGATGTGCGTGGGCACGTCTGCATCGCCAAGTCCAAGGCCATCTGGGGTGGGGGGCCAGGGGTCCATGGGGAAGGAAGCAATTGCCCTTCTCTAGGAGTAGGTGGGGTTCATCTAAGAGTCTCAGGCGGAGAGTCTCAGGAAAGAGAGCGGGGCTGAGAGTGGGGCAGGGCCCAGACGTGAACTGAAAAGACAGGGAGGAGGAGAGCCCGACAAAGACAGGGACCAAGAGAAAAGGAGTGTGTGGGGTGACACAAGACTGAGCAGAAAGGGAACAATGGGCTCTCGCCTGGGTCAGCCACTGTCTTTCTACGTAGCCCTGACCCCCAACTTCCCTTTCACGGAGACAGGGTGGGACCAGGCATGGAGCTGGGGCACCTTGCCACCTGGAAGTCTCCAAGACCCCATCATCTTTGGCCCTTTCCCCCCTCCCCACCCCACCGCCCAGCCTCAGCTCCTCCGACATGGACAGGATGCCAGTTAATTGCCCCACATTGGCATGGGATGCAGGTTTTTAAAGAGAAAGAAAAGAGCCCCAGAGCAGCCAGGCAGCTCCCAGGAGTCACTGGGCAAGACAGAGCAAGTGGCTGCCCAGCGCCCAGCTCCATCCACCTGCAGCCTGGCACTGAGACAGGCCCTGCCTGTGGAGCAGGTTCTACTCCCAGCTCTTTAGCTTTGGCCCTGATCTTGGCCAAGCCAGGGAGACAGGCTCATGGGGGGGAGGGGGGAGTGGGGGAGGTGGTCAGACTGCTTGCTTTGTTGGCGGGCAAGAAAGAGATGGAGGGAAGCAGAGGGAACACATGAGGGGTCATCCTCGCTGCCACGAGGAGCCCAGCTGGAATGGCTAAAGCCCTCCTGAGGCTCAGGGTCTGACCCAGGGCAGGGGGTATCCCTGAGGCAGCCTGGCCCCTGAGGGATGGAGCCACAGCAGGGTTAAGGGGCTGCCAGACCTTAAATAGCCTCACCATGCCCAGCCCTGCTTTGATGCTTTCTGCATTCCGCACACACATACCCCCCCGAACAAGATGGCCGCACCCAGGGCTTTATAGAGCCTGCAGAGAGGGTGACTCAGGCACTAAGTGTCTCTCGGGTGACCTGGAAAGAGCACCTCAGCCTGGAGCAGATGGGGGAGTCAGAGTCTCCTACCCCCTTTGCCCCCATAAAACACCATCCCTGGCACCACAGCCACTCCCTTTGCCGTAAAACCACCTCCTACCCCCACCTGCCCACCACCGTGACCGGCCCTTTCAAAGAGCCACTGAAACTCGTAAAAGGTGGCAGTGCCCAGCAAACGAAGGCCCGGGCTGGACACCCCACTTCCAACCCAGCTGCTCCAGGAAATGTAGGGGGGCCTGGAGGCCCTCACACTCTCTAGCCCATCCAGGCCGCTTCCCCATCACCATGCAACGGGCCTGAGAGGAAGGAACTGGAGGAAAGGAGCTTTGAGGCCTCTGAGATCCCAGATTTGGGGATCTCCTCAGAGGCCCTCAGATGTCCACACCCTTGGCCAGCCCCCTCAGATGGCTCTGCTCTTGGAGCCCATAACCAGGGAGAGAAGAATCTAGTCTCAGCTCTCTCTCTGGATGTGTGTGAACGGGGTGTGGGAGGGGGACTCCCCCCACCTTGGGAAGGACTGGTTACCATGGCAACCCCTCTGCCCCTTTGACCTCTACAGTACTCACCAGGTGGTGGCAGCTACCCCATACCGTACCTGGGCTCCTCACACTATCCATACCAGCGGATTGCGCCCCAGGCCAGCACCGATGGGCACCAGCCTCTCTTCCCAAAACCCATCTACTCCTACAGGTATGGTCCGAGCACCCCCCTGGGGTGGAAGGAAGAGGGGTGAGAGGACCAATGGGGAAACTGAGGCATGGAATCCTCAAGCTATAAGGTGATGGCAGAGGATGGAAGTCAGCCTCGCAGGCTTCGAGACGATGCTGGAGAGGAGATCCCCGCACGGAGGCCCGCGGATAGACCAGATCACCTCTGACCTCTTGTCTAACCCTGCGGAGCTATGTCAGTGGCTCCACTCAGCAGAGGCTGGTGCCCCGAGATTGGGCCCCTTAAGGTCTAGCCTCGTGGGGCCCGGGGCCTGGGCCTGAGAGTTTGGGAGGGATGCTCCCCCCTTCCCCCTCCCTTTCCCCTAGATACAGAGAGAAGCCGAACCCCAAAGCTCTCCGGGAGATAAGTGAGAGATGAGGCCTACAGACTCAGCTCAGGTATCCAGCGCCTGCTGGGGTTGTAAACGCCAAAGCCCGCAACACCCAGCCGGTCTAGGAGACCTTCCCCCTGACCTTTCATTCCTCCCATCAACAGTGACACTTGACCTCCTGTGTGCCAGGCCCCAAGTGGGATGAGGTCATCAGCCAGTGTAAGCTCAGGGAAGGAAAAGGAACTCAAAGAGCATCCAAGAGCACAGAGAAGGGGTTTGCGGGAGGCAGGATGATGCACAGAAAGGAGAATACCCCATCCTTGGAGTCCAACAGAACTCAGTTCAAGTCCAGGCTCTTGAATTTACTAGCTGTGAAACCTCAGGCAAGTTACTTAATCTCTCTGAGCCTCTGTTTATTCATCTGCTTAAAAAAAAAAAAAAAAAGGAACAGGAATATTCAGGCCTTTGGAAAGATTAAGTGACAGAATATGCTTGGCACATTGTAGGGGCTCAAGAAACCATAGTTCTCCCTGACTATCCAACCTTCAGTGTGCAGTTGGCTGAGGGTGCCTGGTAATGCACCCTTAATCCTCACAACTCTGAGGTAGCTATTACTTTCCTTACTTCAAAGCTGACGAAACTGAGGTTCAGAGGTTAAGGCGCTCACCCAAGGTCACACAACTAGCGAGTGGCCAAGCCAGGATTACAACCCAGATCTCTTAGATTCCACAAGACCCTTGTAGCTTGGTAATTCCCAACTTCAGTGGACACCTTCTCATCCTTTCTCCTTTCCACCCCATGGAGCCTCTCACCTAAATCTGCAGCAGGTTATTCCTCTCAACTACTCCAGCCGGGGCAGGCGGGGTGGTCGGGGGAGACTCCCTGCCTGCTCAGAAGTTCAGACTCTCAAGGTTTTCTCTGCCTTCAGCATCCTCATCTTCATGGCCCTTAAGAACAGTAAAACGGGGAGCCTTCCTGTCAGCGAGATCTACAATTTCATGACGGAGCACTTTCCCTACTTCAAGGTGAGCCCGAGATCCACCCCAATCCTCCCATCCTGGGTGAGCCAGGCCTCTCTGGAGGCAGAGAGTTCTCTCTTGAGAGTTCTGTGTCAGGAACAGAGAGCTCAAGCCATTCACCCAAGGTTACTCAGCGGGCTGGAATCCGATCTCATGCTGGTGGAAAGCGGATGTGTCAGTCCTGATAGGCTTCAAGAAGCATCCACCTACCCCGAGTGGGGAGAAAGAGCTTGGGAAGAAATGAGAGACTGTCCCCACCCCTGCCCCCAGGATGCTGTAGGTTAGAGGAATCTGAGTAAGAGCAGTAGCCAGCCAGGGTGGCATGGGACGCTGGGACCACAGGACCCATTGCCTTCCAGGGAGAGATTAAGATCTGCCTCTGTGGGTGGCAGGCTCAGCTGCAGCCCTGCCAGAAAGGGGGGTGTGGGCTTCATGGTCTTCAAGTGTCCCAGGGAACTGGGCGGCTCACCTGGCCTTCCCATGTACAGTGGCTAGTTCCTGTCATCCACGGAAGGGGCTTCTACCAGATTCCCTCCCTAGAGGCGGGACAGATACCTTTCTGTCCAGATGGGCAAACACATCAGAAAGGGTGATCCACCTGCTCAAGGTCACACAACAGGGGGGATTGGTTGGTGGCTCAAGCTGTTTGGCTTCACACACCACCCACTTCCCTTCTTGGCATGCCCCCCCATACCTTCCAGCACAGACCTCTTCTTCTGGGGTGGGTGCAGGGGAGAGCAGAACTTGTGTGTGAGGACTGCCTTCTCCGAGGTCTACACCCTGGTGGATATAATCTCATCCGAGAACCAGGCGGAAGACGGGAGCTGAGGCCCAGGTCCAGAACTTAGCTCCACCTGCCAGTAGGTGACCTCTGGTCCCACTGTCTTCCCAATTGTCCCGCCTGAGGATAATCTGAAGCTGATATTCAAACAAGTTTGTACTTGCTGCGTTGCGAGCAAATGAGGAGTGGGCAAGATGGCCAGAGTGGTCTGGCCAAGAATGGGGAAGTATGGTCATCCACCAGAGATTCTGGAAGGGGGGGTGAGTTGTCTCTGGGATTTGAGAAGCATCAGAGCCAGTATCCAGAGCTGCCCAGATATCCCAACAGATCTGGAGACGAAACGCTCCCTAACCACTAAAGCTTTTGCAGGGTCCTCTATAGGACTTCAAGGGGCCAGGCCAGAGACAGGGAAGTGGGCCTGCCCTGTTCCTCTCAGCCATTCCTCCCTGCCAACTCCCCGCCTGGCCCCCAGCCCCTCCCTGCATCTCAGCTTCCTGGCTTAATTATTTTTCCTGGGAGCTGTGTAATCCCTGTTTTATGGGGCTGAAGAGTGAAGAGGTCTAACAACTTTTTTTTTTTTTTGGTTCTAGTTGTTGTTCTTAGCCGGTTGCATCACTCTCTCACTCCTGAGTTTACATTTGACTTCAGAGAGAAAGCATCTGTGAGGATGGGACGGGCCCCAGTGGTGAAGCCAGCCCTATAGGGTGACCTGGGCAGGGCCCTTAATAAGGGGACAGAGCTGGAGTCTGGGCTCTGTCACTGCCTTCTGTGTGATCTAGGGCCAGGCAGTTTCTTCCCTGGACCTCAGTTTCCCAATCTGTAAAATGGTCAGGTTGGACCAGTTGGCACATCCATTCCTTCCAACTCTGACGGTTCCCCTCTCACCTACCTAAGGAATTAGTTCAAAGATCCCCTGCCCCCTTTATGGCTCACTCTCCATTTGAAGGTCATTTTCCTGGGCAAGAACAGAGGGGACCCTGGGGTGGGTAGCACTCATGCCCCAGGCAGCTGAGGTGGGCGTCCTGTAGCCCCATGAGTCAGGGCTATGGGACTGGGGCAGTGTCCAGCCACTGGACATAATTGCTAGTGCCGACCGTCCCTCTTCCAAACAGGAAGTGGCTGGGGTGGGGGCTGTGCAGGCAACCCAAAGTCACAGATTTATGGGCCCGTAAAAGGGCCCAGTGCACATTAACTCTGCCCATCAGGCGACACAGCCTTGACTCCTAGTAGGGACTTTCGTGGGAGTTGAAGGTGAATCCCAAGCTGACTGGTCTGGTGGCTCGAGCATCCTTCCTTCTGAGCCCCGGGAGCCTTGGGGGTCATGTCAACCAGCCCCCTGCCCCAGGCCAGCTGCCCCTGAGAAAGGCTCCGGCAGCTCCTGCCGGCAGCTCGCAGTGACCGGGCGTCAGGACCCAGTTCTGCTGGGCGTGAATCAGCCTGACTGCTCCCTGGGGCAAGTGGGCTGGGGAGGAGGGTGTGGCCGCCCGCACACCGCTGAGACTGGCGGCTGAAAGGGAAGAGGGACCAGGGGGCTGAGGGCATGGGGGCCCCTGGCCGGAGCAGATGCTCTGCCCACCGTCGGCCCCCGCTGGGCCTGGGACTGGCACAGAGGCGGGAACAGAGCTGGAGGTCGGGGGGGGGGGATGGGGGGGATCCACTGGCACCCCCGCCACCGCCTCTCACCCCACTGAGTCAGCCTAATGGTTTTTACAACCCTCCCTGGGCACAATTACTGCACGGTGGCACGACCGGGCCTCCTAATGGGTGTTTATTCTGTTGGCACGAGCCCCCCCACTGCCCACCTGAGGGCTGGCCTTCCCACCGGGGCACGCCCCCCGGGCACACTCATGTGAACACTCCCACTCCCACACACATACAGTCATGGAGACCCCCACACACCCAGAGAGGCTTTCTCACACACACATCCTCACACTCAAAGGAATTCACAGACCCACACCCCAGACGCGGGCTCATGCCGGGGAGGCGTACTTAGGGACACAAGCACACACATACGAATAGCCAGTCCCCACCCCCCACACACACACCTCGCACTCTCACCAAAACCCAGCTATACACACGACATATGGGCAACAGGGGCACACATCCAAATACAACCTCACCCATCTTTCTTTTCTCCCGAGTTTGCCCAAGCGGGGGTGAGGCAGCCCCAGGAAAGGAGCATCCCATAGCTCCCCCCTCATTCCAAAGCTGGCATCTGGGAGACCTGGGAGTAGCGAGTTCGCTTTCCCCAGAGGGGTCCAAGCATAGGCCCCAAGACCCAGGGGGACTGGTCCAGCTCCAGACAGGGAACGGGCCCTCCCTCTATGAACCACCCAGACAATCCTGGGCAGGGTCGGCCCGAGGTGGGGCTGGGATGAGGGGCCAAGGTTCCCGCGCACCCCTGCCCACCACTGAAGGGTACCAAGCACGGGCTGGGTGCTGAGGAGGACGACAAGCCCCGGAATGGGTGGCAGTTGGGTGCCCAGGGGGCAGAAGAGCCTCCCCAGGCTCCTTGAGCCCGGCTTGAATTCTGGTCCTGCTCTGCTCCGGCAGACGGCTCCTGACGGCTGGAAGAATTCCGTTCGCCACAACCTTTCTCTCAACAAGTGCTTTGAGAAGGTGGAGAACAAATCAGGAAGCTCCTCCCGCAAGGGCTGCCTGTGGGCCCTCAATCCAGCCAAAATCGACAAGATGCAGGAGGAGCTGCAGAAGTGGAAGAGGAAAGACCCTATTGCTGTGCGCAAGAGCATGGCCAAGCCAGGTGAGGGGCTGCAGGGCAATGCAAGGGAGGGCTCAGTGTGCCTAGGAACTGGGGGGGGCGGGCAGGGAGGAGGAGAGGAGGGGGGAGGGAAGAGGGGGGAGAGGGAGAGAAGCTGATCAAAGAGAACTTATTAGTGAGGGAAGGCCTGAGTGGTTCCAAGGCTGGGAAGGGCTTGTGGGGAAAGGGAGGTCTCATGGTGTCCCTCTCTCTTTTCTCTTGGGCCTTTGCAGAAGAGCTGGACAGCCTCATTGGAGAGAAGAGGGAAAAGCTGGGCTGCCCACCCCCTGGGCTGGCCAGCTCAGGCTCCATCCGGCCCCTGGCCCCTCCAGTTGGGCTCTCCCAGCCACTGCACTCAATCCACCCAGCTCCGGGCCCCATTCCCGGCAAGAACCCCCTGCAGGACCTACTTGGGGGGCATGTGCCCTCCTGCTATGGGCAGACATATTCGCACCTCTCCCCGGGCCTGGCCCCTCCCGGACCCCCACAGCCATTGTTCCCGCAGCCAGACGGGCACCTTGAGCTGCGGGCCCAGCCAGGCACCCCCCAGGACTCACCTCTGCCTGCCAACACCCCACCCAGCCACAGCGCCAAGCTACTGGCTGAGCCTTCCCCGGCCAGGACCATGCATGACACCTTGCTGCCAGACGGAGACCTCGGCACCGACCTGGACGCCATCAACCCCTCTCTCACCGACTTCGACTTCCAGGGTGAGCTGGGGGTGGGAAAGGGAAGGTGGGACGGGACCGGAGAGGTACGCCTGGCAGTGTGGCCCATCCCCTCCAAGCTGCCAGGTTTCTGGTCAGTTGAAGCAGAAAAGTCCTGAGCCGGCCAGGGGTGCCAAGGGGCTAAGAGGAATGTCCTTGCCCCCATCTCCCTCCTCCTGTGCCCTTGAACATGTTCCAATGGACCCCATCATCAAACCATTCCCAGTTCCGAGTAGCTGGGAAAGAGCCCAGTGTTCCGCTCCATTGTGGCTGTGAGCAACTGCCAGTCTGAACATTCCCAGAGGTGGTTGCATTTTCTCATTCATCTTTTAAAGCAGAAGAAGGAGAGAGATCTTCCCCCTGGGAAAGAATGTAAGGCCTCAGAACTAGGCAGGTCCTGCCGAGATTTGGGGGTAGGAGTCTGGGGAGAGGTTCTATCTATTCCATTCCATCTTGCCTGTCCCATCTCTGCACATGGCAGAGCCCACCCATTCAGATCTAAACCCCAGTGCATGCCCAGACTCTGGTCCTGGCTCAGGAGGCTTGGAGGAGGGGGCTGACCCAGGCCTGAGACCCTCTGGGTACACTGGGGGAGTGGGGGGAGGGACATCCACAGGCAGGTGGAGACAGCTGACCCTCATGAGCTCCGGGTCCTGTGGGGACACAGCCCAGGTCTTGGTAAGCTTGTTAGAAACGTGCAGCTAGATCCTCAGCTGCAGCCAGAAGTGGGGAGCGACGCTCACCACAAACCTTCAGCTTCACGTGTGCTCTCTCATCTGGGCCTCTAGGACCGGAGGAGAGATTATTAAACCCCCTTCACAAAAGCACATGGAGGTTAAGTAACTTATTCAAGGTTACTTGGCTAGAAAGACGGAGAGTAAGGACTGGAACCCAAGCAGTCGAGTTCAATCCAGGGTCTGGTCCAGCCCCCTTCCTCCATTCCTGCAGCCCTGATACCCAGGGCAGGAGCGCCAGGCCCTGGTCTGCCATGATGTAGGTCCCACAGCACAAAGAGGAGGACGAGGTGGCAGCACTGACTCCTCCCTGGAGTCAGTGCTCCAGGCTCTGCTCCTCTCCCTTGGGCCTGCAGTGAAGGACCGCATGGGCTCCAGCAGCGCATTGTTAGAAGATCCTTGGTCTTGGCTGCAGATCCGCCTTCCTTGGGAGCCTGGGCAGGAGCCAGGGGAAGAGCTCCAGGGGCTCCCTCTGCAGGCTAAGTCCGGAGTGCACAGCATAGGCATCAGTCCTATGACTACCCCACCTCCCTCCAAAATAAGAGCCCCAGAGATCATCTAAGCTATGGCAGAGGAATCGGAGAGTTCCAGCAACTCCCTGCTGCCAACAGTCTGTTCCCCAGTCAAGGTTACCCCAATCCTGCTCTCTTTAGCATGTGAGAGCCATGGGTGGGGTACACAGAGCTCCTTGGTACCTCCCAGTGACTCCTGTTCTCTCCCCCAACTAGGAAACCTGTGGGAACAGCTGAAGGATGACAGCTTGGCCCTTGACCCCTTGGTCCTGGTGACCTCGTCCCCGACATCATCTTCAATGCCACCACCTCCACCGCCACCCCATTGCTTCGCGCCAGGGTCCTGTCCGGCAGAGACGGGCAGTGGGGCCGGCGACTTGGCATCACCAGGCAGTGGGGGCTCCGGGGCATTGGGTGACCTGCACCTCACCACCCTCTACTCGGCTTTCATGGAGCTGGAGCCCACACCCCCCACGGCCCCTGCTGGCCCCTCTGTGTACCTCAGCCCCAGCTCCAAGCCCATGGCCCTAGCATGAGCCATGCCCAGCAGCAGCTTCGGCCTCTTTCTGGCCTGGAAGTCCCAGCTGGCCGCCCACATCGGGCCCACCTTAAAGGTCAAGGAAGGAAAACCATCCCTGTCCCCTATGCCACTAAGCCAACTGTTTGTTAGCTGGCAGCTTGGGGGTGAAGAAGACACCACCCACGATGCTGCCCCTCACACATTTCTGCCACCTGGTGAGCCAGCTCCTCACTCAGGGTCCCTGAAGACCAAGTGTCTGGGCAAGGAAAAAACACACCCTCCCTAGCTCACACTCATCCACACTCACGCCCTTCTGCATACTATGTGCGTGCATATGCACACACACACACACACACACAGAGTCAATCAGACCTACACCCACCCACATACCTTCTATCCAGAAGAATCAGAACAACGTCACTGAGAGCCTGACTCCATTTCTGAGGCAGCTGAGAGCTGAGGGCTCAGGTCCTCATGCCAGGTCCAAGACCACCCTGAAACCCTATTCCGATGTCCACATTCTCTGCAGGCCTGGCCCCTTCTAGCATGTTCTCTCCCGGAAGCCCCCTGTATTTATTCTCCCATCTTCATCCCAGCAACCGGTCAAGGAAGAGGCAGTGTGGAGCCTCTCCCCAAGTTGTCTGTGGGTCCCCCAGGGGGCTGCTATTAGCAGCACCCACTCGGCCAGGCTCTACCCATCCTCAGTATATGCTCTGTCTGACACCCCCCCCCCCAGAATGACACCCAAGAGGGGTAACGGCCACCCCAGGACCAAACTGAGCCCAATTCGGACACAAAGTGTTTGGAAAAGCCCTTGCCCTCAGAAACTTAAAAGTGTCCTCTTTTCCCAGCCCTGGGCACAGGAAGGACCCCTCCAGGGCACTACAGTCTCCCTCCTTCTCTATAAGAACTTCATGTAGTTTAGCTCCCAATTTACTAATGACTTCCACCTGTCCCAGGCAGCGTGGGCATTCAGGGGAGGGGAGCCTGACAGAGGCCGGTGCGGGCAGGGGGTGGCAGTGACGCCCCCCTCTCTTTGACTGCTTGGCAGACCCACGGTGTCTCCCGGAGCTGGGGGTGTGCCGGTTGCCTGCCATGCCCTACGGGAGAGCCCAACCCCCGCCAAGTGGGAGCTGCAGCCTACCCTGCCCCTGGGGGTGACAAGAGCCCCCAGAGGTTAGCCTGGGCTTGGTTACGCACAAGCAGATCCCTAGCTGGCCCGCCGTTGTCCCCTGACCTGGAACAATAAAGCAAGTGCCTGTGGTCTTGGCTCCTGAGGCTTCATTTCCGGATTTCTCCTCCCTGAGCAGAAAGGCCAGGCCACACTAACTGTAGATACCCTGGTCTGTGATGTCACCCCGACCCTCATTCTGTACTGTGAAGTTTCCATCTAGGAGGACTTCCTGACCAGCTTGGGGAGGATGAGAGGGCAGGTAGGCGGGGCCTCTTCCCTGGAGAATTTCCAAAGGGATCCAAGGAAGCAGTTGTCCAGCCCCTATGAAGGAAGAAGATTCCCTCCCCCCACGCCCCTTCTTACTGAGATTCACCACTTTCCTCCTTGAGCCCCCTCAGCTCTTCACACAAGAAGGGGTCACTTTCCTGTCCAGGCTGTGCCTTCCTGTCCCCCATCTTTCCCTGGCTGGGGCTATGGGTTCCACAGGTGACATGACTAGAGCGTAGCCCGGTGCTGTGGGCACTGCTGGCCCTAGAAGGTGGTCTCTGAGGGTCAGGGCCCCACTCGGCTGCACTTCAGCCTCCCCTCCCAGGTACCCCCTCCAGACGGACTGCTGTCACCAAAGGACAGACTAAGAGGGAGCCCTACACTCTGCCTGAACAGGCAGAGGGTAGGTGTGGGAGACAAAAGCATACACATGAACTTCAAGACTCAGAGCAGCCCCAGGTGGGGACTCTGCTTTGAAAGTTCTTCCAGGGGCCAGGCCTAGAAGCGGGTCAACACCACCTGCCTACCCCAGAGGACGGCTCTGTAGAAGATACCATAATAGAGCCCCACCCTACAGCAGCGCTCTCCCTAAGAGCCTGTGTCCAGGACTAGAGGGATAGGGCAGGGTGGGGAGTGGAGGGAGACATGGCCAGCCGGCGCACGCAAGAGGAAGACCCGCCCGCTCCAGCCCAGCCCTGACTATAAAGGAAAAGGCGGGGAGGCTCTCTGTTAAGCCCCCTACTCTGCACCTCCAGCTTAGGAGGTAAGCAGAGATCTCCTCCAGAGTAAGCCCTCTGTCCCATGGGCCCATTTAGCGCACCTACAAGTGAGCTGGCACCCACACAAGTAAGGCAGGTGGCAAACAGAATTTGGGGTTTCATGTTTGTTTTTGTTTGTAACCAGACTAGCCCTTAAACTTAAAACGGCTGCCGTGGCTCTCGCAGCTGAGTCCGGCACTCCCATTCATATGCTGCCCCCTGCTGGCCGCCTCGCAGCAAACGTTCACCGATGGAGGGTGAGCTGAACGGATGCAGGGTCGGGAAGTGCCCGGTTCTGGGGAAGTTAACCTGTTTTGGGGGGGATGGCTCTAAACATAAGGGTCCTAAAACTGGTTAGTTCATAGGGTTCATTAAATTGGATGAACAGGGGCGCCTGGGTGGCTCAGTTGGTTAAGCAGCTGTGAGATCAAGCCCCACATCGGGCTCTGCACTCAGCACGGGTCCACTTGAGATTCTCTCCCTCTCCCTCTGCCCTTCCCCTCCACTCGCTCATGCTCTCTCTCTCTCTCTAAGATAAACAAATAAATAAAATCTTTTTAAAAAGTTGGATGAAGAGGGCGCCTGGGTGGCTCAGTTGGTTAAGCAGCTGTGAGATCAAGCCCCACATCGGGCTCTGCACTCAGCACGGGTCCACTTGAGATTCTCTCCCTCTCCCTCTGCCCTTCCCCTCCACTCGCTCATGCTCTCTCTCTCTCTCTAAGATAAACAAATAAATAAAATCTTTTTAAAAAGTTGGATGAAGAAATCACACCTTCATTTTCACTCATCTCGACCTCAAAGTTAGCATTTCCCTCCATTAGCAATGTCAGCCACAAATCACAATGGCTTTAGTAGAATCTGTGACTTTGTCATAAGGTAGAGAAATCGCAGATTAGAAATCACAGATGTTTTCATATTATATTACAGGTGTCCCAGAACAGATCTATAGATTCATATTATATAGTTTTCAATACCTAAAATATTTAGGATTACCATATATTTTATATTCATAAAAACCCTTATTGTCTCTAGGCTTCAGCAGACGATAACAATGGGGTCCATGATACACAAAAAGGTAAAGCACCCTTTCTTTAGTTGCAGGGTGGTGAGGGATGGAGGGTGGCTCTTAACGGGAGGGCCCAGGGTAGGGAGGAAGGTGCTGGGGGCTTCAGATAGCAACTCTTTATCATCAGAAGGGAAGCATCTCAATATTTTACAATGGGTTTGGCAGCCCCAATGTGTACCATACAGATCAGCCTGGGTAGGCATGAATGGTGGGTCTTTTGGGCTTTCTTTTTCAACCCAGTGGTGGGGTCCTCATGAGGTTCCTGAAGAGTCAAAGCAAAGAAATCTGGCCCACTTCAGAGAAATGAAATCTGAGACCCAGATCCGGCAAGGCCCACATGGACCTTCAAGATCAACAGCTCATCCTCATCAGACCCCCCCTTACCCTGTCTTCTCCCTCCTTCTACTGCCCAGGGATCCTCCATCTTCCTAGGGAAAGTGCCAGGAACCAAAGCCAGCAAGGTGCACCTTTGGCAGCAGGACCAGTGCCAGAGACATGAAGACTTACAAGGAGACAGGGGGCCAAGGCTTTCCCCAGCTGAACTCCTCCTCCAGGCCCAAGAGACATAGGACTCTCGGGGTGAGTGCCAATCCGGTACCTGCTCCAGGGATGCAGACCTCAGCCCCATCCAGAACCTCAACCCAGTTCGACTTAGCAGGCACTGTGAAGATTATTATCGGGGTGGTGGGGGAGCGTCCTCTTCCTGACAGCTGGAGGCCTCAAAGTCCCTCTTGCTTGCAACAGCTTCTCTGTAGACTTGTAATCCCATAAGCAACACCTCCAACTCCAAATACTCTGTAAACCTACACAGCTTCATCTGCAAACCAGCCCCCAACCCCACCCAGTGCCCCTTCCTCACTTTTGTGACAACTGACAACTCCTGACCACTTGCTTCTTGGTGAAATTCCTTCTTCCCTTAGCTTCTAACACATCCTACTACAAGATAGGCTTCTGCTTCCACCTCTCCGGCTGCTCTTCCTGTCTCCATCATGGGTTCCTCTCCCTTTGCCCTGCTCTCACTCTCTAGCCTTGCCTAGGGTTACATACTCCCATTCAGTGACCCTGAGTTGGGAGGGGTGGACTATTTGCAAGGAGCACCCCGTTAATTTGAGGGCATTCGGCATTGCTGCCCCCTGCTCACTAAACACCAGTAGCTGGGCACCCCATAACTCGGCCACCATCGCAGCTTCAGCAACTGTCTTGTGGCCACCGACCTCCAAGAATCACCGTTGCCAGCCTTCATCCGCCTCCTGGTCTCAGGGCCTGAATTTCCTGTCTCTTCCTGGTCACCTCCTTCAGGACATCTGTACCCACACCCCAGCAGGTCCCAACATGAACCCATCACCTCCCCCAGCCCCCACCCTGATCCAACTTGGGTTCCCAAGCCCCGTAACAGCACCTCTCCCCACCCCGACATTCAGGCTGTGGACCAGGCTTCAGCCTCGACCCCTCCCTGTCTCCAGCCATCTCATCCTATCAGCCTCCAGTTCTGGAAATCTCCCCTCTTAATAATCTCCACTTCGTCTGTTTCTCACCATCTCCGTGGATATTGACCGAGCTCAGGTTCCCTTTGGCTGTCAGCCCGAATTCCTGCACCACCCTCCGGAGGGCCCCTCTGCCCACAGCATGGTGGTCTGTGACCTGGAGCCAGACTGCAGGGTTAGACCCCTGACACTGCCACTTAATAGCCATGCAGTGTTCACCCCTCTGGTCCTGCACTTCCTGTGAAATGGGCATAATAACGTGCCTGCCTCCGAAGTGATTGCGAACATTCTAAGTTAACACCTAGCCCCGGGCCTGTCACTCAGTGTGCGTCAGCTGTCAGTCTCACTCCTTCAAATCCAGCCTTCGTTCAGCAGCTGGAGATAATCTGACCAGGTCATTCACGATTAACCCTCCCCACCTTCCCCAGGAGAAGCCTCATCACCTGGACTACGAGGCTCCAGAGATTTGTCTTCCTTTCGCATCATAAATATCCACTTTCCCGGAGGCACCTGGCCCAGCTTGCCTCCAGACCTCTGCTTAATGCTGTTCCCTGTGCCTGAACGCTCAC